TTTTATTAGCATTTGCTAAATATGATTGTAAAATTGAAACATGCATTTTATGTTGAAACAATATGCATTGTGAAAAGTGCAATATAAATACATTTTAAATTAAATTAAATAAATAAATGTAAATTTAATACCGGACTTAAAAGAGAACATGCATAAACAAGACAATTCTGAGAGTAAACCTATATTTTGTTGGAAAAAGACATCATCTACAACCCAATATATTGGGACCCAGTTCTGGAATTCTGCACAGTGAAAGGAATATTTCATTTAAAAATGATGACACTGAATGCTCTTCATATATATATTAAAAAAAAAGATATATATATATTTCAAAGGCAAAAAGAGATAAGGCAGACCAAAAAGCTTGTGCATGTCATTTACAATACAAAAGCACCTTTAGAAATGACCACTGCATCAGGAAAAACACAATTGTCCAAATAACAACAGGCCACTGTGACAACTCAATACTACTTTTGGGAAACATTGCAACAATGTCACTTTAAAAGCATCACTCAACGAGAAAGCAAGGCTGAAATTGCCATTCAAAGCATACTGCTGTTCAAATAAGATGTTGTTTAGCACAATTGCAAGTTCAGTTGCACAGACAAGGATCAGATGTCGACCTGGGTATATATCCCGACTGATGACACAGATGTGTAATAATGATGAAGACACAGTGAAGATGTCTGCGCCACTAGTTCACAGTGGTTTAACTCTGGCTGTTGTCTTGAGGCAGTGGACGAGTCAGGGATACTTCAGTAAGGCTGGTTCTGCTGGTCTGGTGAAGTTGTTTTCGGCCAGCTGTGTCATGAAGGCATTACACACTCACTTTCATCATATGCATGGCAACTCACAAGAGTTTAAGGTACAGGAGTTGTAAACATGGAATGATGTCAAAATGCATTCATATAACAGTCACAAAAATCACCACAATCAGAGAAATCATTGTCTGCTCAGTGTGCACAGAAAAAAAAAATCATATGCAAACCTATGTGAGTTTCTAATGCTGGTTTGATCCCAAAATGAGGTGGCACAATGACATTAAAAGTTTGACATAATAAAGAAACAATCAGAAGTAATGCATACATTAAGGTATAAGGCATCTTGTAAATAATCATTAAAGGGTTACAATATATTATGTACCATGATCTGCAATAAAGTGTTGCTATAGTATCTATAATATACAGGGCAATAATAGGATAGTCAAAGTATCCTAATGCAAATTCAGAAGATTTTTTTTTTAAAGAATGGGGGTTCTGTTAAATGGGTAAAAGAAACACAGTACTTTGGTAATACTTTACAATAAAAAAAAAATCAAAATTATTATATTATAATAATTATTATATATATATATGAACATAAATTTAGGCTGTTATTTATTTATAATGAATAAACGCACACATATGGTAAACATAAGCTCAAGCAAGCTTGCTTGATGTGCGAGGACCAATAATGTAAATTCGTGTGTTACTCAGCACATCTGAGCTTCCGACAAAACCAATAAGGTTCATTCTCGTGTTACGCAGCCTGTTTGAACTTCTTCATGAACCAATGAGGTTCATTCTCATGTATTACGCAGCATGTTTGAACTTCTTCATGAACCAATGAGGTTCATTCTTGTGTGTTACGCAGCACGTTTGAACTTCCTCATGAACCAATGAGTTTCATTTTCGTATGTTACTTAGTACGTTTGAGCTTCCGCAAAAATATTATGTGAATAAAAGCATAAATTAAATCTGTTCATCATATAAAGCGATTGAATTTCTTCACAAATTCATACGGATTCGTTTTAAGATCTCTTTCTGAACTTTTTTAAGCGAATTTTTTAAACTTTTAAAGTAATAGTTGTGTAGACTTTCAACTAAGGGACATAAATCTCAGGTTTAATTTAAAACATCTGTACATCTGTGTTTCTGTTTTGAACAAAAGTTTTATGGGTTTGGAATAACATGAGGGTGAGTAATTGATGAACATAAAAAAAATGTCATTTAAAGCTGCTTTTTTCTCTTTGTCGCCATCTCTGTTAGAAACCTGCAATTGCAGTTATTGGCGGAATTATCAACTTTGGGTTGTGACTCGGGACGGAACAGAGCAGATGAATGTGTGGCTGTCAGTCACCGCTTGGTGTAGATACTGTCATTCGGAATCACAGATTCTGCTTTTTGGAAGTATGACCAACATAATTTTGAATGTCAATTTTCAATTTTCAAAATGTCATCTGAACAAGTAATATCCACTTTTGTTCTGACCAACTATAAGGGAAAAAAAGCATTGCAGTAAATCGCGCTGATTAAATCTAACCATCGCTTATCATATAACGTCAAACCGTGCAAATTATACTTTGTTCTCAAATTGTATAATGTCTCAAATAAGTCATAATTTTACCAAAATTAGCATTGCGTGACTACATTTAATGCCATTCTGATATTATCGCATGGGCCCGGTTGCAGTCTCTTTTTTTCTGTAGCCACTCCGAAGTCCGAACGAAGTCTTTTGCATTTTACATCAGTTGAATCTGTCGTCACTGGTGATTGTCGTTTGAACTATTCTGTATCCGCCATCAAATTGATAAGTGTAATTATATGAAGTGCTGTGAGAAAAGGCAATAAATGTCCACCTCCAACATCCTCATGCAATATAGCCTATTTTAGCCGCCACTCCTTCTTTTATGTGTACAGATGTGACGTAATGACGCAAAACATGCTCGAATCTCCAGCGGAAATCCACCAGTACCACTGGGATTAAAAACATTACAAGCTTACAGCTTTGATTCGAGCTAAGGCAAGCAGATAGTTTTGAACACTGGCTGGTTTTGAACTTGCTCACTTGCTCAATGTTATTTTCGATATTGTTTAACCCCAAAAAGTTAGGGAATGCAGCTTTAATTAAAAAAAATACAGTTATATATATTATATACAGTATATATGTAATTGGTAACGCTTCCTTTTACAGTACAGTACTTACAGTGTACTTACAGTGTACTTACCTAGAAAGTACTGGCTAATATAAGGTAAGTACATGGAACAGGGGTAGGTTCAGAGTTAGTACTAGTTTTAACCCACTAATTGTAGTTACTAAAATAAGTACATAGTATTTACATGGGTAACTGGACTGTAAAAGGAAGCGTTACCATGTAATATATATATAAATTACGATTTAAAACAACAGCTTTCTATTTAAGTATATTTTAAAATACAGTTTATTAGTGTGATGGCAAAGCTAAATTTTCTGCAGTCAATACATCAAAAATCAGCTTTGATTTGGTGCTCAAGTAACAGTTCTTTTTATCACTGTTTAAAAACAGTTGTGTATGGCTATTTCAGTGGAATTTCAGTGGAAACCTGAAACAAATGTTTTTTGTTTTTTTTTTGTTGTTTTTTTTACAAATGTGTTTACTACTGGCACACTTGATCAATTTAATGCCTCCTTGCTTAATGGGGGGGGGGGGGGGGTTGACCCTAAACTTTTGAATTGTACATTTTTAAAGGACAACTCCGGCGCAAAATGAACCTTTAGTCTAATTACACATTGTTACCTAGTCAACCGTTATCTGAGATTTGTTTTCATGATTGCCGAATGTAAATAGTTTTATCTCTAAAAACAGTTTAGCCTATAACGCTAATATAATGCTAGTATATAGGGCATAGAGTAATGACAAATAAAAATCGCTTGTTATTACCACTAAAAAGGGTCAAAATAGCCCCATACTAACACGACAGCATAACGAGGGTCCCTACATTCAAACCGAAGCATTAAGAACTTTGTCAGTGTCCATACAGTTTAATAAGCAGATATTTTATACATACAGTCAACTTCGCGAATACAGGAGGAAGCCATCTTGAAAAAATAGTCTCTACCAGTCGATCTACGAACGCCCATCCAAGTGCGCTGGTGAGATGTGAATAAGGTGATAAGGTGAGCGCGAACAGTAGGCTACGTGTACATATTGAAGACAAGTAAACGGTTTGTGTTTGTGTTTCTTCCGGAAACAACGGACCATATGAGATTCTGCACAGTTCAGCGCACTTGGATCGGCGCTCGTAGATCGACTGGTGGAGACTATTTTTCCAAGATGGCTTCTTCCTGTATTCGCGAAGTTGACTGTGTGTATAAAATATCTTCTTATTAAACTGTATGGACACTGACAAAGTTCTCAATGCTTTGGTTTGAATGTAGGGACCCTTATTATGCTGTCGTGTTAGTGTGGGGTTATTTTGAGCCTTGTTAGTGGTAATAACAAGCGATTTTTATTTGTCATTACTCTATGCCCCATATACTAGCATTATACTAGCGTTATAGGCTAAACTGTTTTTAGAGATACAACTATTTACATTCGGCAATCATGAAAACAAATCTCAGATAACGGTTGACTAGGTAGCAATGTGTAATTAGACCAAAGGTTCATTTTGCGCCGGTGTTGTCCTTTAACATTTCAAGTAATCATTTAAGTGAACCTTATTGTAAATTGTTACCCACATTTTGTCTGGCTGGAATAAACAACATTTCAACACGAACACATCATTTTGTATTAGGTCACTCTTAAAGATGAAATTTCTGTCAGTATTTACTCACCCTCATGTTGTTCCAACCCCGTAAGACTTTCGTTCATCTTCGGAACACAAATTAAGATATTTTTAATTAAATTTGAGAGCTGGATCACTCCTCCATAGGCTTTATAAGGGATCGACGTACAACCTATAAGCTTTGCATAGTTTCACAACGTGAAATCTCGAGGCCAACAGAGAAGGAGATAAATAGTTGAATAAAGTCGTTATTTTTATTTTTATTTTATTTTTTCGCACAAAAAGTATTCTTGTCGCTTGATAAACTTAAGATTGAGCCACTGTAGTCACTCGGACTATTTTAACAATGTCTTCCATAACTTTTGGGCTGGCCAGTTTCAATCCTTTAAGAAGCCTATGGTAGAGTGATCCAGGTCTCAGATTTAATCAAACATATCTTCATTTGTGTTCCGAAGATGAACGAAAGTCCTACGGGGTTGGAGCAACATGAGGGTGAGTAATTACTGACAGAAATTTCATTTTGGGGTGAACTAACCCTTTAAAATGCTGATCTGCAAGTTTAGGCAATTGTTGATCTTTTGAAACACAGCTCCCCTGGAGAAAAAGAGATATAGAAAAGGGCACGACGTTGTGTGTAGTGTTTTGACAGGAGCAGTTAGCTTTGTATCACTCCTTTGTTCAAAGAGTGAGTTAATGAGGGAGGGCTGGTGCAGCATTGCGTCAATGTGACGCTTCCAACGACACCTGTTTCCTCCTCCAATGAGCACAAGCACCCTTCACACATTCATGATGCTGACATTTCACCCCTCACATCAACCCTCCACACTCCCTGTGACCGGACACCTTTAAAAGCACTGCAGATGAGGCTCTGCTTATCTGCAGATATATATATTACAGACTGCAGTCATTAAATTATCGTTTCCTGTGCTTTGTGATACTAGTGCGGCTGAGAACCGCCCACTCTGACCTCACCCTTTATTTGCAGGAGACACAACCACATCAGTGGACTCCATCACAAAGCAAACAAGTCATCTGTGCTGTGCTGTGCCCTAAAGCTACAAAATCATTCATGGGTTGGTTTTGTCTTTGCACCACAAATGATTTGTTTACTAGGTGCTTTGACTCTCCCTTTTCATAGACAACATGGACATTTCAAGTCAGGAGATTTGTGGATACAATCAAATAATGGCTTGGGGTTTAGTTCACTTTAAGGCAAATAGGGAATGGATGTTTGAAGATCATATTCTCTCTCTAAAAAATAACAATAAAAGGAACATCAAAACACACATCAAGAGTTCAAGCATCCCACTACAATATAGTGCAGGGCTTTTTATCTTTAAAGGGGTTTTCTGAGGCTGGGATACCCATAAGCAGAGGGTCATACTTGGCATGTTCGCTGCAGTAGTGCATGAGGTCTGCAGAAGCTTTAGACACCTAAAAGAAGAAACACAATGTGAAATTTGAGAGATTTGTGTACAAGTGAATTAATTTAGTGATTAAAGTGATAGTTCATTCAAAATTCTGTCAATTATATGACTTTTGTTCATATGTAAAATGCAAAAAGATAATATTCCCACAATTTGGTCCATGCGATGAATATCAGTTTTGTCCAAGACAATAGTGAATGCCATTGCCTTTTATATTATGACAAAAAAAAAGTCATTATTCAAAATAATTTTTTCCCGTTTCACAGAAGAAAGAAGTACAGATTTCATTGTTAGTTTGTTAAAAAAAAAGAATATTCTGCACATGAATATGCATGAATATGCATCAATTACATGACTTTTGTTCTTCTGCAAAACATAAAGAAGAATAGTTCAATTCTTTTTTGTCCATGCAATGACGTACGTGTGAGCCTATAACCTACAAATTCAGTTCTTTAACCAATACCACATTTCAAAATAAAAGTAAAGCCATCAAAAGTATTAAACAACTAGGACTGTCAATTATTTCAATATTTTTATCAAATTATTACATTTAGTCAAATTAATGGAAAGGGGTTTAAAGGGCTATCCAATTCCCTAGCAAAAAATAAAAATAAAATAAATAGTATATATTAAACATAATATTATTTATATTGTATATATGTTTTACATAATATGTGTTAAATAAAATACAATAAAATATTAAACTGACAGACCTAAAAATAGCACACATGGATGTACAGGAATTTTCTTTTGAGCAATAAATAAATAAATAAATGTGAATTAAAATCAGTTAAAATAAAAAAAATAAAAAATATATAATTTAGCTCCTTCAAACCATCCTGTTTCTAGATTTACAGCTCAGCTTTCTCATTTTCTCAGCCATCTCATGAAGTGCCGTTTAGTATGCCATTTAAACAGTCTTGAAGGTGTTTCCATATTTTTCAACTTTATTTTAATTTAATTAAAATTTAATAAAAAAAAAATCATGTGAAGGCACAATTATTTAACAATTTCACAGCATCTTTAGCATAATGAGAAACAAATTAAACCAAGTGTTCCAAGTGTTTTATTTAATGATAATTAATAATTAATTTACCTTTATTCTCTCTTTGTTAGCTTCTATCCGTAGCTGTTGAACAGTCCTTCTGGCTTGGGCTATATTATTAGAGTTTTGCTTAGATGACATCTTTGATAATCTTCACAGACCTGGATAGAAAACAACAACACAAAAAAGTTGATATTGACATGCACTCTGAGCAGCCAACATCAGATCAAAGCTATTCCAGTCCCATGATTCATGAACTATACAGCAGAATTCTCATGCAAAACGTGTGTAAGACAGGAAATTTGTCTGTATGTAAATGCATGTTAACACATATATCTCTCTGAGGAGGCACCGAGGGCCCCTTTGACTCCTGCAGTGGGTGGGGGGTGTTTAGTGCGTCAAACCCCCAACGAGGGGCTTTTTCACTGGGTCAGCAGCCTCTGTATTGCTTTACGACTGCAGGAGGGAGAACCAAAGCAAGCTGTGTGTGAACAGAAAACAGAAGATCCCATGCTGCCAGCAGCTCAGTCTCTGCAGCTACTGACTGTTCCTGCAGAGCACTCTTTCCGTAAACCATGGTCACCGCTTACTCTGCCAACTCATCATGCGCAATGGTGCACACTGCACAGAGAGAAGGAGTTGTGTAAAACAACTCCTGTGCAATACTGTTCGCTTAAACAGTTGTGCAATACGAAAAGGAAATGGTGTGAGTGAGGCAGGTGGTCTCTCATTGATCAAGAGATATGGAGAGGATGTTTAGCTTTCAGTGAGAAAGCTGACCACTTCTATTGAGAAATCAATACAACATTTTTGGTAGTAGATATCAATTTCAGTGGAATTTCAAAATAGCACGGAAAAAAAGGACTATAAATATAAAATCAAATAAATGATAAAATTAATAATATAAAATTAAATATACAGCGGGGAGAACAAGTATTTGATACACTGCTGATTTTGTAGGTTTTCCCACTTACAAAGCACGTAGAAGTCTGTAATTTGTATCATACACTTCAACTGTGAGTGACGGAATCTAAAACAAAAATCCAGAAAATAACTTTAATATCCAGAAAATAACTAATTAATTAGCATTTTATTGCATGACATAAGTATTTGATCGCCTACCAACCAGTAAGAATTACGGCTTTCACCAACCTGTTAGTTTCTCTTTAAGAAGCCCTCCTGTTCTCTACTGTATTAACTGCACCTGTTTGAACCCATTAGCTGTATAAAAGACACCTGTCCACACACTCAATCAAACAGACTCCAACCTCTCCACAATGGCCAAGACCAGAGAGCTTTGTGCGGACATTAGATACATCTGTAGATCTGCACAAGGCTGGGATGGGCTACCGGACAATAGGCAAGCAGGCTAAGGCAACAACAGTTGGAGCAATCATTACAAAATGGAAGAAGTTCAAGATGACGGTCAATCTCCCTCGGTCTGGGGCTCCATGCAAGATCTCACCTTGTGGGGCTTCAATGATCATGAGGAAGGTGATAAATGGTCAATGACCTGAAGAGAGCTGGGACCACAGTCTCGAAGAAAACCATTAGCAACACATCACGCTGTCAAGGATTAAAATCCTGCAGCCTACGCAAGCTCCCCTTGCCCAAGCCAGCTCATGCACAGGCCCGTCTGAAGTTTGCCAATGACCATCTGGATGATCCAGAGGAGGAATGGGAGAAGGTCATGTGGTCTGATCAGACAAAAATAGAGCTTTTTGGTCTAAACTCCACTAGCCGTGTTTGGAGGAAGAAGGATGAGTACAACCCCAAGAACACCATCCCAACCGTAAAGCATGAAGGTGGAAACAACATTCTTTGGGGATGCTTTTCTGCATACGGGACAGGACGACTGCACCGTATTGAGGGGAGGATATCTCGAGATCTTGGCCAACAACCTCCTTCCCTCAGTATGAGCGTTGAAGATGGGTCATGGCAAGGTCTTCCAGCATGACAACGACCCGAAACACTCAGGCAGGGCATCTAAAGAGTGGCTCCGTAAGAAGCATCTCAAGGTCCTGGAGTGGCCTAGCCAGTCTCCAGACCTGAACCCAATAGAAAATATATGGAGGGAGCTGAAAATCCAAATTGCCCAGCGACAGCCCCAAAACCTGAAGGATCTGGAGAAGGTCTGTATGGAGGAGTGGCCCAAAATCCCTGCTGCAGTGTGTGCAAACCTGGTCAAGAACTAAAGGAAACGTATGAACTCTGTAATTGCAAACAAAAGTCAAAATCATATTCAATGTGATTTTCTGGATTTCTGTTTAAGATTCCATCACTCACAGTGGAAGAGTACCTACAGGTATGATAAAAATTACAGACTTCTACATGCTTTGTAAGTGGGAAAACCTGCAAAATCTGCAGTGTATCAAATACATGTTCTCCACACTGAATATATACAGTATATGAAGAGTTCAGATGCAAAAGCCTCTAAATGCCATTTGTATATTTAAGTTCAGTAATTTCACTTAAATAACAATTAATAGGTAATTATCATTGCCATTTAAGTGAAATCACTGAACTTAAATATACAAGCTCGATAAAAATTATCATTCTAGAAGAAAATTTCAAATGGCACTTAGAGGCTTTTGCATCTGAACTCTTCATATATATATACGAATTAATCAATTTTACAAACGACAGGTTACACTTTATTTTAAAGTCTCACTAAAGTGCCTTGAAGAGCGCAGCATTATTCAATGTGTTGACGTAATTCTCATTGAAACAGGAAGACAGGGTGGGACATATTGGACAGCTAAAGCGTTTTGTTATCACAGCTTGGTAAAGCCACTGTTTCCTCCTAATCTCAAACTGTTTCTCCTCCTTATCTCCTCCATCACTTTAAAACATAGCATCCTATACCGAATTCAAATGGGTCAGATACGTTTTGTGGTCTGTGCCGACTCGCTTATATGATCCGCATTCCGCTCTGTGTTATCATGTATCTGGACCAGAGCTGCGGCCATTCACGTGACTCTATAGTGAAACCAGACTTCATTCACCCCAATGGAAAGCATATTTACACAGTCTGGATTGTTCCCTACCCCCTATATAGTGCGCTATGTGCCATTCACAGTGTAAAAAAAAGCATGTTTTAGCCACAGCTTCAGTGTCTATTTACTGTATAATGTGGGATGCTTTAGATTCTAGAGATCATTTGATTGGACAGAAAATCTGTTGAGAAGCGTAAGTGCAGAGTAATGTCATCAAAATCATTTATCCATATTGGCGGAAGTGAGAAAGTTTTAAATGCTTATGTTCTAAATGTGAACTTTGTCATTGTTTTGGAGCACATACCGTATACGTATACTAAAAGCCAAACAACTTTCATTTTGATTTCATGGGGACTTTATGGTGTCATTGTTTCAGTGTAATTATATACTTAATTACCGAGTAATATTAATTATTAACATGTACTTGATGGTGAGGGTTAAAAATAAGAATAGGATTTAGTTTAGGGTTTGTTGCATGTAATTATGCATAATTTTATGTTATTGTTACAGTAAGAACATGCAACATAGGGAATAAAAAAAAAATGTAGTTGTAAAATTTGACAATTATTTTGATTCAAGTAAATATTCATTGTAAATATTCAAGAAAACTGTCAAGAAATAAATATCAAATAAAAATAGCAATGTATTGTTGTATCTTTTTGTCGGTTTTGACAACAGGGGGAATGTTTATTGGAGTGGCTTCCATATTGCTACATCGTCAGCCGCATAATCTCTAGCACAACAAACCCTTATATCCAACTTCCTGAGAAGCCCAGACACAGCTTTATCAAGAATTCAGAGGAAGAGTGTATGGTTGTCTCCCGTTCCACCGGCACAGGGCTGCTATCTCTACACGGAGGTCTGTGTTGGGAGGTGACCTTATCTGGTCGCACACCAGACATAGCTAGGGGTTAAGAGGTTTGGATAACAACTACTTGTTAATGTAGTGACATAATTAGTGTGAGACAGAGGCTGTAGTTGCTCCCACAAGCCCTGAGGTCAAGGGGCCATCCATACATTACAGCCCAGAGAACACACTAGTTAGCAGCAGCTTAACAAGTATAGACAAAACATGACGCCTCCACCGATAGCAGTTTACTAATGATGACAATTTCAGGACAATAAAGCATCCCAGGTTGCTAATTTTAGATGAATCAAGAGGTACTCACAGGTACACAACCTAAACAGGTTAAACTGTTGGCCTCCATGGCTTTTGTTTAAATTGAGTTACAATTGAGCTTCACAAGTACATTTTGTGTATGTCTCCGTCTTCATATTTGTGTCAATGTATAAGTGTACATTTGTAATTGAAAGAAACAACACTGAATAATTAAATAAACAACGGTGATAATTGTGGTTAGTACGAACTGTAATAAATTAGAACTGTATGTTTGCATGCGCTTCGGACTAAAACAATAATTTGTCTCTATTAATGTTTGATTTAGTGTGAAACTAAAAGACCTAGACAATTTGATTTGTCCAAGGACAGATTTTGTTCATTTGATCCCAGTCAAGGTTGAGTAAGAATGTAGTAGCTCTGTGAAAGGGCACAGTGTTCCTGTGAGGTAACGGTTCATTTGCTTGGAGTGGCTTCTTCGAGACAACGAGTCAATTTACTGCAGACACAGCACAGAGAGGAGAACTGTGACGCAGACAGACATGGCTCAAGAGCTGTGCCATTCAAACTCCATTCACTACTTGCACACTGGTGACCTCTGACCTTTTAGGTCGATTGTTATTCTCATCCACTCACACCATCCAAGCAGAGGTTCACGTGTGGAATCAAGATTACAATATGATTAACTGCCAAAACCAGCGCCAAGCAAGCCTTCCAAGAGCTCACATCCGTTTCATTAACCCACTCACTCCTCTCCCTGCACTATAAATGATTAAAGATGTGTATGAACGTATAAATAGCAAAGGAGCAGGAAGCGGGGGCGTCTGTGTGCCTGGACTCAGCAGAGAAAGGGCTCGCTAATAACTGCATATCCTGACCCACGGGATTTTATTTATTCCTCTCACGTTTGCGCCGATAAAACTCTTCCTTTGCTCTAGAACTTGTCCTTTCTGTGCTGGGAAGTCGGTGATATTACCATCACTATAGTGCTGTTAGCATATGCCCTCTGCTGTCTACGCAACAGTGACTTTGAATCATCCAGCAGGCA